AATCCAATAATACCTCCATTATAGTACTCTTACTTTGTACCCTATGCTTACCACTTCACTTCCCATAATTTAATTTAAGTGAAACCTCTTCACGGCACATTGCAAACCATCAATCACTGCCTAATTTTAATTTGCCCAATACTTAAAATGTTTATACCTTTCAATATCTGATTCTAGTTAAAACTAACAAAATGTCTGTATGATCAAAAACATTATTTCAATGAAATGATTTTTATATAAACTCATGATTTTTTGAAAAATTATTAAAAATTGTTGGTTGCACGAAAGCTATTCACAAATGCGCGTAGCACTGATGAAATCGTAAAGTACTTAATAGGAAATGTTTCATTCAATGTGAACATTAGAGTTCAAACGTCCCGTTCGGCGTTTTTGAAATTGAAGAAAATTTATTACACTCTCTAAACGACTTAAAACATAATTCCTTTACCCAGAGGAAGTGCCATTAAAAAAATTCCTTATGATTAAATTTTTTCTTAAATGAATTTCCATGTGAAGCCTGAATTCTTTGCTCTTAATTATCCAGTATTAGCTTGTTAGTTGTGGGAACTTATTGATCCTCAGAATATCCGCAGTATTTGGCCTTTTGTGTATGTCCTGCGCTGAATCAATATGAGAAATAATTTGAAATTTTAAAGAAACATCAAAAGCCCACTGATTAAAGTGATCAGGCATCTGAATCGCATAAAATTTAATGACAATTGAAATATAGAATTAAAATAGAATTGATGATTCGTCATCACACCGGACATGAAACAATGAATTTCACTTTCTAAAATCATAGTTGGAACATGAATGATACCGGAAATTGAAATAATATTAGATAAATTTGAAGTAAAGAAGATGCAAACTTATCAATGGAAAGAAAAACTTAGGATCAATGAAGATCAATGAAAAGAAAAACGAATGCATAAATAGAAAAAAAATTCAATCAGGTTAAAAGATTTCAATTTCATGTTTTCACTGTAATCGTAGAGCGCAAATTCAAATTTCAGGAAAAAAGGGAAAAACTAACAATGGATTTGACGAATTCCAGTAAAGAATCGGCAAACGGCGTGCAATTAAAAACTTCAAATTACCAAAGGTCATGAATAACTGAGTAATTGTAATGATGACTGATGGTTCTGTCCACATCACATACGATATACACAACCGCACTACCGTGTTTTCCCGCGGTCTCTTCACTTTACTTGACGATTTTCCTGAAGTTCATGAAATTGGAGCATAGTCCATTGCTTCTTTAATTTACTAAACGAGAAAATTTTGGCATTAAATTCATAGACAATAAATAAAATTATCAATTGTACATTAAGCAGAGAGCAACACTTCACATCTGCCTGTGCTTTCTGATTAAGAAATTTGTAATATTAACCGATTCTCATGACAATGATCGCAATTCTACAAATGAGAAAAAATATGAAATACTACTTATAAATTGCGAGCAAAACTTACACCTGTAACTTCCAAAATGATTTTTCTAGTACAAGAAATCAACACGAAATATGCATTAAACATTAAAATGAATTATATCGAATACTGTATCCGTGGAAGAACAATTCTTTGTAATTTTTATAACTCAAAACACGTACCCTGTAATTCAAAATACAGTATGCTACAATATACAAAGAAAAAAGAATGCAAAGGAGTTGGAAGAAGATCTCGGGAGTTTGTGACCTAAAGGACTACTAAGTGTTCCATATTGAAACTGTGTCAAGTGGATGAACTAATGAATGAAAAGTGAATGTTACAATATTTCTGAACTTAATTTAATAATTATTCAGATCATTACGTTTATTGACATTTTGATAAAGGTAATAAGGAATGGAATAGACATATGAACATTTTATAAATGAATTTGCTCAAAAAATGAAATTGGCTCAATTTATTTCAGTTTCCTGCTTTTAGCTCTATTAAACGATTAACACAAAAACAACATTGTGCAAATAATGGACAGCTTTATTTTTTAATCTGAAATAAATTATGAATATAAAAATACAAGTTAACCAAAGAAAAGGAAAAACAATTTTTCATTTACTGTTAACAGTCGCAACGTAATTGTTTTATGCGTAATAAACCAGGTTATGTCCGGAATCGTTCGAGTGGTTGTCATAAATAAATGAATGAGAAGAAAAAAACATCTCCTCTAGGAAGCATAGAGGGGATATGTTGCGCAACTGAGCCAAGGACGTGATGTTGTCGAGGAGTAAATGATAAGCAATGGAGGCTTCAATCTATCGACACCTCTTTAGAAATTGAAACGTTTCCTTGCATGAATTAATTGTCACCGGATACTTCTTAAATCTTCAGCCAAAGAAAGTATTATAAATTTTCTTCTCATTCCTTACACTTAAAGGATAGTGCAAAATACACGTAGTCTCGCTCACATACATAAATAATATGCATATAGCAGATTTGAAGATGGAGCGATAGGGAAGTGATATAGCAGCAATGAGAGGAGCAGAAATGGGGCGGCTCGATCCTATCCCACAACACCGCCCCCACTTTCATTATGATTATTGGGATGGGTGGCGTTGGTCACTTTTCCCGCCCTCCTGTCAGTACTCCTTTGTTAATGAGAAAAGATGGCATTCTGAAGGTGATAGAGATATCTCTCATTTCAGATATCGTCAACTTTGAATCTCCTATGAGGTGGTACTTCTGATGTGATAAAATCATTGTCACCTTATTTCGATTTTAGCAAGATCTATGGCTCATGAAAGTTCAATTTGAACTAAGGATTGGTCTACGTAGAAATGAGGTATTTGCTGTAAACAAATTCAAATTTAAAGCAAATATTGTGCGATGCAAAGTTTGATTAAGAAACAATCAATTTAGTAAAAAATATGGAATTCTTGACACTAATACCCAAATTTAACTTAATGACGTGAAAAAATGCTTTAGGGAAAGATATTTTTCTGATATCATTCTAGTTAATCTTTATAAAGATTCCGCAAAATTTATTTTATTGGAAAACTTTCTCATAAATTTCATCGGTGCTATATTTTAGTTTTTATTTCAGGTGTTAAAATTTCTACGATTAAGTGGTTTTGGAATTATCACTACAGATTTTCATAGACAGCATTATTCATTTTTCCTATTTTCTTAATTTTCACCGATTTAATTATAGACATTTATCCATAAAAGTAATATCGGTTAGAGTGCTGAGTTTCATTGATGTTTTCTGAGCTCAGGTGCCAATTGTAGTACTATCAATATAAGCAGAGTGAGTGGTAGATAAAATATATGAATTGAAGTGGCGTTCTTGGTCTGTTTGCACAACTGGAGTAAAATATTGTACTGTGACTGAAGTGGATTCTTTTTGGTGCATATTTGAAAAAGAATGCTATCAGATGTCAGCTTCAACAAAGAATCCGATTTCTGAAGCACTCTTCCAGAAATAACCTCTTCAGCATATGAGACCATAATACACGAATAGACAAAATCCTTTTTTGATACAAATATTTTGATTCTTTTTGTCGTCTTCGTAGTGAATTCAATCCTTTTGCAATGATATTGTTCATTTTGCTTACACTTAGGAATTAACTTCTTATCATCTCTCAAAGGATAAGAAACTGTTATCAAGCCCACTAACTGTGATTACCATCTGGCAATTTTGGCCATCTGCTATGTTTCGGCAAAACAACATCAAAAATTTCACCCCATAAGAACAGTTAGAAATTCATTTAGCCAAAATCAGCTGAAAGCAAATGCCGTCCTGTTGCCCTCATAGTTTAAATTTCAAATGTTTTTCAGTTTGAAATTCAATCCACAAATGAAAATAACTTTAGAAAAAGTGTGAATATCAATATTGAAGCAAAATTTCCGGATTTGCAATTGCTGTTTTCAGAAAGTGGAAGTAAAAAAATACCAGCGCTGATATGAAAATGTTATGAACCGAAATGCAGTTTAGACCCTGTTAAACTATTAGACATAATCACTTGATATGCCTAATTCGGAATGTTTCTATAACTCATCAATTTCTCGAAAAAAAATTTCATCCTTTACTGCAAAACACAACAAAATTATATTGCTATTCAGCCAAATATTTCCGTTTTCTGAAATCTTCGATTTTCTCTCTGATAGTACCAAAGAAATTCACTGTCACAGAATCAGAACAGCATAATTTCAACAGGAATCCCAAAAAAATTTTTTCAGAATAGAGTGCATTGTATAAACAGATTATACTCAAAATTTGAATGATTGTACAGATCTGAATCGAAATTTATGATTTAACATTCTTAATCCAATTAAATGCAAATTGTTCTTTAATTTTTTAGGGAAGAAATGTTAACTAATGACTGATGGTTCTGATTATGCAGATGATATCACTCATTAACGAATTCCTATCATTTCAACAGAAAAAATTAAAGGAATTTATAAAAGAAATACAATGAAAATAGATAATAAATAAAAAATAAAGAATTATAAGTTCAGTGCAAAGTTTCTACGAACTCCAGCAAAGTTGCATGCTGTAACTGTACAGCGCAAATCAATAATCAGAATTGACAGTGAAAATTGAATAAATAGTTAATTTCTAATAAGCTGTTCAGAATTTTGGATAATTGGAAATATTTAGAATTTTTGAACTGAATGGCACATAAATGTGATTAGATCAGTTTGGAAAGGTCTAACAAAATGAATTGTCGGGTTTGAAGGTTTCAGAAGCCTTAGCAAATGCTTTGAGTCATACTGAGGCGGTTCTCACCATGTTATTTTAGGAAGTTCATGCTACAGGTCTTTCTAGTAGATGATGAAATTTTTTTTAAAAAAAAATTTCGCATAAATTTCATGTAATAGATATCAACATACACCGAACAAGATATCCATCGAATGTAAAATTATTTTTGCCAGGTTATCAAGATATTTTCTAATAATCCGTAATGATATATCATAAGTATTACTGATAACCTACTGCATACAGTTTAAATCCATATTGTGGCGGAATGCGTTAACTTTGATGGTTATTGACATAGGCGAATGAATCAATCACCTCGATGACCACGTGAAAATAACCATCTCGTGAATTGGCAATGTAAAGGCATTCGTGCAGAATTCGCTGAAAGCATTTCATCAGTCACATCATATTTATTTTAAACCCCGCCCAGACGACCTAACTTGACCTCATTGCTTTCTTGGCGATAGACAATCGCTCATTTAAGGTCAGGATCAATCGGGGTGATAAGTGATGGCAGATAATTTCAAAATTACGCCACATAAATATAAAAGATGTGCATTTAGGAAAACTGATTCATTTTTTTTTTTGAAAGATAGCTTTCATGACAAATCTCATTTTATTACTATGGCTTTAATCGGGTATTACAGACCTGAGCTTTCAGTTGATGGTTTTGGGTTTGGTGGTATGACAGATAATAATTTCATTCTGGGTGATGTTTGAACACTTAAGATTGATCGATTTGTTATATCTGTTAGATACCCTCGCTGAAAATCATTTCTGTGATGACAAATGATATACTTAATAATGTAACATCCTTTTATCTTTTATCTATAAATTCAGCAGCTTGTAGGTGTTAATCTTAGTATATTATATTCAAAGAAGATGTTACAATTTAAAATCATAAATTTTATCGTGATAATACTCAATCTGAAATTTCCTAATTTCCGCTGCTACAATAAAACAAAGAAAAAAATTTATGATCATAAAAGCCAAAATATTTTATTTTAGTCCAATTTGCTCAGTATCATCCTTACATCAACTTGCAATGAGTGATTCATACTTTAATCCTTTCACAGATTCCTGAAATGAGATGCCTCCATAAAATGATCGCATTGTCTACATCTGTACTGTTCCAACGATCAATTTTCGAATTGAGTAGTGCTGATCGTATGTGATATATTGAACACTCCAAAAATACTGACCTTTAACATATGCTTAATTTCAGGATAAAGAATTGTAATTGTTTGATAAAGAAGTGTAATTTTCAGCGAAATACTCTTAGCAATTTGATTTTTCAAGTAATTATTCCATTAAGGATCACAAATCTAATACAACTATCATAACATTCTTTTTTAATAACTTAATACGAAAAGCGAAAAATTCCTCACCAGTAATAGAGTCGGAAGCCAATGCTCGATTCAAGCTTACCATGTCTTCGTCCCAAATTATCCAAAATGGGATCAAATGCTTTCAAATCATCAAGACTGTTTATACCGCTTTCTAGAACCTGTAATGGCATACCAAATGATTGGAATTGTGTCTCACTTTCTCCTAATAAATTTTTATAGTAGTATAATGCCATAACGTTTCATGATTTCCATGGAATTTTTTGGAAGTAAAAGTTTACAAATATTTATCTCAAGCCATTGGACGAGCGATCTTCCAATAGCATTAATAGCATTGAAATAATAATGCCATTGAAAAAAAATGAAAATAACTTTCCATTAAAGATGAGTCACATTTACCTGAAAAAAGCGAAGAGCTTGAAAAACAAATTCATTACTTTTCTTTTTGCAGCTGTTCAAATCTAAATTCATGAAAGAAAATAGTTGTCGAGCTTCGGGACACTGAAAGCTTTTTTATTAGAAATTGTAATTGATTTCACACAAAATTATCCATCAATTCTCCTCAAGGATGAATAGTTGAAGTTGAAAAAGTATTCTGTACTTTTTTTTGACTTAAAATGATTCCACTTTTTTAATATTACCTCATCTGTGGTAATATTACCTATACCATTAATTATTATCATTCATCTTATTACAAAACCAAAAAAACAAAACCAAAACCAAAACTTATTACTATTCATCTTATCATTCACTTTATAATATTACCATATCATTTATCCTTTTCACTAGAATTTCTAGTGCCTCAGAATGCATACACAATGTAGTGTGGTGTAAAAGAACCATCTCATACTGTATCATTTTCACCAGATGGCATCCAAATGGATGACATAATTGTCAAAAACAATCAAGAACTGTGATGCTGTGAAAGCCAAGAATAATGTTGACAACATTTATAAAAATTTTTGAAATTTCTTTCAGAAGTAACCAAAATCAATCTCAAACCAATTCAAATATACGAATGCATAGAGACACCTGATCAAAAATCATTCTGTATATGTTGCAAGCAATTGTTTGCTTATCTGTTTTTATTGTTTTCCAAGATCTTCTCAATAGTCGAGTCTCGGCATCATCGAAATCATACCACTCTTCCAAACTAAAAATAACTCTTTTCACTTATGCAAAATGTAATACTATTCAAAATGCTAATGAATCATCATTTTCTCTCTACATTTATTTTAAATTAGAAAAAAAATAAATTCAAAGAAAAATTAATAACGAAATTTGTGACACACATGTATTTGGCAATATTTGTCGCACTGTATAGAATTATTTGAATGATAATACCTGGAAGTGATATGTTCTTTTGCTTCGCAATATGACATATTGATTATGATTATGGATAAATAAGATTAATTCGATAGAAATGTATTACGTATTGATAGACTAAAACTCAAATAGTATCAATGTTTTGACAAATGGATGTCAACTTAAAAATACCACAATGGCGTCATTGGTTAGTTTCGCAGCTACAGGTAATTCAATATCAATTTCATGACTGATATTTGAAATGATTTTATCAAAGTTACTACATCCCCCATCTTAACACCTATATTTTTTTCATTTTAAAACTTAATAGTATCAATGTCTTAATAAATGAATATTTTTTACTTAAAAGTACTACAATATACTTAAAAGTACTACAATGGGCCATTGACTAGTTTTGCAACTACAGGTAATTCAATTCCTGTAGGGTTAAAGGATACTGCATCTCGAACAAACAGTAATCGATTGCAATTATGCATGACATATGTTAGGATAATAATTCACTAATTGATCTTGAAATTTAAAAATTTGAAGTCTGAAATAAGAATTTGAATTTGACAAATATGCATTATATTGGAAACTTCTCATACAATACACGTTATATCGTAATGGTGAAAAGATTGAATAAAAAACTATTTGCGATCCTCGAACAGATTTCATCAGTGATAGTTTGCTCACACCTGTGTAAAAATAGCGCAGTAAGCCTAAAAACCAATGCATTAAATTGCAAAGAATGCAAACTCTCGATATGCCTGCGACTAAGAGAACACAGTCTTCCGGTAAGATTAGATAAATTACTTCGTCATTCATTCTATTTTGTTGAGTACCCATCTGCTGCAAGTATTCAGTTATTCTTATAACACAATTTATGATTAGATTTGAACTTGAAAAGAAAGAAAGGATAATCATAAAAAGTTATGAAAATGGCAGTTCTGTTATTAGTTGAAAACCAAAGGAAGTGAGCAGAATTTTAAAGCACAGAGAATTAATTAGGAAAGATTAATTTGTCATATGCTATCAGCTATTATTGCATAGTCATCAAATCAAGTAAAATTTTTCATTTTTTCTTTAGAAATTTTTATTGATTAAAAAAAATTCCACCAAATAAATAACGAATATTATCAACGGAGAGGTTATATTTGTTATTATATACTAAACACGTATCTTTCAACTAATAAGATAAGAAATATATACAGTTCAATCTAATTTAACATATTTCATAAACGAACTGACAAATCCTTTTCTCGTAAGACGAAGTTAACAATCACAAATCATTCAAATTATCTCAGTTAAAATTGAAGATATCAGTTAAATTTTAATTCATTGCTTTCATTGGTATGTGTTGTACGTATTTGTTACAAATGAAAACCCTTTTATCTAAATCTCCTTTTCTCCTGCCATAATATTTCCTATTATACATAGATTTAAATTAATTATAATAAAGGTTTAATTACTGAGATGTAATTTTCCTTGACAAGGACGAATTTAAGAATTCCATTCTATTAGCAGCAAAATTGAGCTATCATGTAACTATCATGAACGCAATCCTATTGTGATAAGATAGTTACAACTGCATGTAATATTGAATAGTCTATTTAATTGACAATTCTTTAATTGTAGAAGCACTTAAAAGAGTAGTATTATAGAAGTAACAGTAATAGAGAATAAAATGGATTCGTATTAGTTTCTATCATTTAAATTTGGCTTCAAATAAAAGATACTCGATTCGAAAAAGTTAGGTTAAAAAATTAAGATAAAATCAAATGTGTGAACAATGTCAAAATGATTAAAACTATGCGCAATTAAGTAGCTAGGCTAAAGAATGGGTTCTTGGCACATCACTGTACCATATCATATTTAACACATTCTGTGTGCTGGCAAAATAATGATTCATTGAAGCTGATAAGCTACACTGAAAGAAATAATGAAATTATTAGGACAGAAGATCAAAGGTCCTAGATAGAGAATGAGCTTTTGTAAAATGGTACAAAAGTAGTAAGGAAGTATGGGCACAGTAGCAATAGAGGAATTGATTTGGCTCTTATATAATGGAAATAAACGGCCAAGTCTCAAGAACTTGTAATGTAGACCAACTGATGAGAGGAGCCCAAAATATTGCAAAGCTTTGGATCGCTATTGAGAATCAACGGTGAGAGCCACGGAAATGAAATTTTTCATCTTCCTCTTAAAGAGAAGATGGTGACGGAAATAAAACTATGAGTCATTAAATTAAAATAAAAAAAATTTGAAGAAGGATGGACGAAGAGAATTGCTTCAATAATTCCCAAATTTCACTTTAAGTTTAGGGCCCAAAAGTAAGATTCTAAGATAGAGCCTGGAAAAGTTAAATCAGTTGGTATAAAGCAGGCAATATTAGTGATCACAGTTCTCATCCTCCTGCTTCATTACATCATTTTATCTTCCTTTCTACTTCTTAGTTCGTTGTTGCTGGTGTTTCTTATTCATTTGCCTGAAAAAACATTTCACTTTTCAGGACTCCAGGACTGAATGCTTTGGAACATTGGTGATATCGTGTGACATATTTCATTGAAAAACTAATTATATAATTCCTAACTGTAATATATTATAAACATAGGAAACTGATCCGTTCTTTTCGGAACAAATTTCTTTTTTCTGATTAAATCAAAAATGCATTATTTTCTTGAACTTCAACAGGGAAGCAATCTAAAAAATTCAGGCTTAGTTTTTCAATGTAAAGCCATCAATAACTATTGGCTTGATAATAGGCATAGTTGCTTAATAAGCACTGAACAAACAGTGGTTGCATATAGAAATAGAAATCAAAAAAATGTGTATAATTTTCCTAAAGAGTTAGTGTCCAATAATCTTTATTTTTTGTACAATTTAATAGTTAGAGCTATTCATCTCGAAATTTCGGATTTTCGGCTTTTCCCGATAATTTTTCCTTTTCTTTGAGAATATTGCTGGTGGGTGAATGGGTGGATAAGTGGATCATACGGCAGCTTTAGAGTAATTACTTACGTCTATAATTATATTTAATTGGAAAAATCAATATATAACGTGAGAATTCACATAGAATGAATAATCAAAAAGTGTCTTATTCTCAGATACCAAAGCTTACTGTGCGCTAGTCAATTAAGTCTAATTACTTTCGCTGCACTATAATAAAAAGTTTTGTTTTTATGTGGATTTTATCATATGTAGAAAAAAAGAGTAGTGAAAAGAATAGAAAGAAGCGAATAAACTTTGCATGCTTTTTTGGTGTTTATTTTTCATAAAAACTACTGATAGAGTAAAATGGTACATAAAATTACTATTTAATAGATATACAGCCTTGCAGGTGATGACAGATTTACTTCCTTGTAAAGCAGTACTTACCGGAAAATGCATTTCTTCCAATAGTATTCAACCATTTATGTGGACTTAGGTGAGATTATTTTAACTGTAACTAAGTAGTTCAATTTTTCCAAGTGTTCCCAGATAGTTGTTTGTCCTGATGCTATATGATGATTCATCTAAAATCTAACTTAACTAAAAGACTAATGAAAACAATCAATTCTAGTCATATGAACAAACAACTACCTATTTCTTCATTTTTGTGTTAGTCCATGGCCTCATTCCAGTCTTTATATAAATTAAATAGCTTACTCACATTATCGGCTTATATTATCGCATGCGTTTATTGCTCATTTTATTGGGAATGAAAATTTGCCAAATACAGCACGCACAAAATTTTCTAATTTTTTAAACTATTCGAAACATTTTGGGAAGGAATGCTCCGGAGACATGTACAGCTCACTCTCTCAACGTCCAACATTTTGAAATAATCCTGTCCACAAAATTGCTATTATTCAGTAGTTCGCCAATTTATCAATTTCGTCAATTGTTATATCAAAATAAATAAATATAAATGCTGCATAATAATTTACAGGTAAAGATAATTCCCATATAAAGTTTTTAAAAACAAATTTCAAGACTGGAAAATTTGTAGCAAACTATGTTCATTAGATATTATGCAAAATAATTTGTTAATAGTTGTATAGCTTTGAAGCATATGTCCATTTTTCATAAATTCCTTTTAATAAAATGAGACCATTTTTAGACTTTTGGTTTTATTGCAGGAAAGTTAATCATAAATTCATATTATTCACAAGTGAACTTGAACGAGGAAAGTATTTCAGGTGTGGTTGAATCTTTATGCATTTCTATGGATGTTGAAAAAATAGGAATATAATGCATTGTAGTATTCTTCAAACTTATTTTATTAGTCGTAGTAAATGGTCACGCGAATTTCACAATGCTTATAATGAAATTGATGATGTTTTTGATTCATTTATCTTAATTTTTTTCATTGCTGAAAAAATTAATTGACCTTTACTTCACATTACCGTATCTGTTATAGTAACTTTTTTGCCCTAATTTCGAAACACAAACGAAATTAAATAACTGTAGGATGATAGAATTATATGAATCTGTATAGTATTCCAAAATAAAATGTTGTAAAAAGTTGACTCATTTAATTGATGAGAAGTAATGCCCATAATACTCAATATTATTATGGAATTTTTTTTTCAGTATTTTATTAATTTATATAAAAGATTGATTCTTTTATGATTCCAGAAAAGTAACGAAAAGTATCCCTTTATATCCTCTATCCCCTGTATCCCTTTATGCATTTGTAAATGCGTGAAAAATGGGTTGGAAAAGGCTAAACTGTTTGTCTATTAGGACAAATACAAAAGAAGATTGAAAAATGAGGACAATATGTGTTGAAGAAAGTGTTGAAGAAATGTTGACGAAAGTTTTCAGCACTATTTTGCATTCTATTTTGGAAATGTCACCCAGAATAAATGATAAATCCTATGTGACTCTCGTAATATAATTACATCCAAAATGATGTCTATTTGTTACATTGTTAAAATTGTCCGCATTTGGAAAATCGTTTTGTTATACTTTCAACAATTTTTCGGCAAACTGCGTATTATATAACCAAATTTCCCAACTTTGACTAAAATAATTGGACAACATTTTAAAGTTACTTAAGTCATTAATGTTTTCCTATTACTCAATTATCGCTATTCCTAAATTCATACAAATCTAATAAAGGTTTTCATAACTTTGATATTGCTATATCGTTGTAAAACATTTCTTTTCTTAAATTACGTTGAAAATTAGAAAAAAAACTAATCTTGGTTCCTTAAAAAATAGAAGACAATTTTTTTTCATATAAGAAGCTGAATTTATATTACTAAATTTGAGCATTTTTAAACATAATTACAGTTAGTCCTACGATAGCCTTTAATGAAAAACTCACTCATTAAAACAATCTTTTAAATCTATTCAATGGGTCAGTCTTTGGCTTTGGCTAAAGCTCTGGAGATTAAGTTGATCAGGAAATGGTAGTGCTTCTGCATGCAAAGAAAGTCTATTAGTGTTATGTTTTTGCACGTCAGTGTAAAGATAAAATTTTTTGATCGATTTCCGTGTATGAAGTTTTGTATTTTGGGACAAATAAAAATACTAAATCATGTGCGAAAATTCAAAAGGAATTTTAAAATTTTGCATAAAAAATAAAAAAGTGTGTGGCGATAGGCGATCACTTCCAGAAATTTGTTCACGTTATAAACAATCTGGAAAATGGATTTAATCAAAAAAGAGCAGCTATTGGTTGGCTTTAGTAAATGAATTTTTTTGTCACTTTTTTGCAATATTTATAAACTCATTAAGTATCTTATATGGAGAGTAAAGGAACGAAACAACAGTTGGATAATAGAAATAATCGGAAAACTGTATACAATCCGTCATCAGTTTATATCAAGAATGGAAAAACGGTATGAATGTTTTCGTTCATCAAAATTTCAACTTGTACATTTTACAAATTTCTTTTCAAATAATTAAATCCAGAACTTGGCTAAAAAGTATTAAAAATGTCAGTTTAATTCTGAGGAGAACAAAATACAGAAGTTTATTTTTTATAGATAACTGAATTGCTTCGCTTATCACCAGTAACTGTGTTTTTTCTTGGTTTCATACCGCCAGTGATTGGTGCTTTCGCAGCTATAATTACAGCTTTAATTTTGCACAATGAACAAATTAGCAATTACAACTGGCAATGCGGGGCAAGCATACACTCATATTCGTAAATTTTGAAGGTTTTTTTGATATTTATGTTTTAGTTTTCCGAAATTTTTAAATCCACATCGATTTACATTAAATATTTAAATAACAGAGCTTTATCAAAATACTCTCATACCACTTAATGGCTAAACGAAATACGTGAATTTGCAGAGAGCACGATTGCCATCACTTTCACGAATAATAAATTTACCACTGGAGCGGTTACTTTGGCAATTTTTGGTGCTTATACAAACACCGACTCGATTCATTGAATTATTCACTGGCTGCAAGTTTTTCAAACTTGTGTTTGAGACTTTAATTAGAATTGAAAACTTGTCAGAAATATTTAAAATTCTTTTTCCTCTATATGCAATAAAAAATTTGTTTTGTTGTCAAATTATAAATTTTTTAATCTTGTGTTTACAGTTTGCCGATATGGACGTTTAATAAATGTGAACTATCAACATAAACGATTTTATAAATTTGCTCGATATGTATATTTTTATTCAGGCATCGCAGAATTGTTTTTTATGATTGGTTTATCACTCCTTGGTGAACGTGAAAATATTCGTAAGTGATCCGTATGATATTGATATTTTTTAAAAATTCGTAGTATAGAAACGACTCTCTTCTTGAATTTTATAATTAAGCATAAAAACAAGATGAATTAATTTATCATTTTTGCTCATAATATCGAATCTCGTCTGATCAGACTAACTTTACTAAATGTATTACAGTAATCCTTTTTCACTTTTAAAACAGTTTTTTCAACTCTTAGAATTAACAGAATTTTTTTTTCCGAAATTTATGAATTTGTATATTTCAGAGGTTCATGTTATACTTTTTTATATATTTGGATTCTTTGGTATCAACTTTTTTATAGCAAATCTTATTTGTCATCGGCATTCATTATATTTCCTTCATCCATACGTGAGTTGCTTAAATTCTGCGCATTTGAAAACATTTGGAATTGTGATGTGAAAAGTTTAATTTTTTTTTGAAAAAAAATGATGAAATCAAAACCAATTGAAACATTTATTTTGTATGAATTCCAAAATCAGGTGCGTCAAAGCAAAAACACTATAACTCTATACCAAGTGATTTGATTGCCTAAAAATTTTTGTTGAAAAAAAATTTGCAGAAAGAAACTCTCTCCTAGTGTGGACCATGTCTGTAAAAAGGTGAAAATCAACCTTTTTTTTGTGACACTTTTCTTTGTTATGAGTTTCATTTTGATTTTTGATGGTATTTCAGAAAAAAAAAACGTAAACGCTGCATTGTCATAGGAAGAGCCTTTTTTCATTTCAGAAAAACGTATCTGTTCAAGAATAGATCCAGTAATTTAAATATTATCCACTGCATTTTCGGAAACTTTAACAATGTTTTACAGTGTGTCACTTGCCAACTGTTAGTATAAATGATGCTCAGCTGAATTTAAAACTTAAATTGAAAATAAATTAAAGCATAAAAGATATATTGAGATTTTTGCAGGGCCGTTTATCATATTATTTGAAACTTACATTCTGCACCATATATTTATTGTCTGTTCCTATTTTGCTAACATCTTTCTTATTATATTGGAAAGTTTGTGTTACGGCTGGTAAATATTTTTATTTTTGTTTTTATTTTTTTGTAATTGATGATAAAAATGATATCATCATTGTTTCTTGCTGACGCTTTAGAATCTTTTTTTTGCATTACTATGCATTTCCCTATAGTAATTTAGGTTCATAAAAGAAAATATTATTGCAAGATTAATGTAATAATCATCAAGATGAACGAATTTTTTTTCTTTCATTTTCTACAAAAAAAAATGGCCACAAACTTGACCTCACTTCACTTTTAGAATGTAATTTCAGCGTATGATGTATTTGCGATATGTGAATATGTTGGAGTATTCTTGAATATTGCTTATCATGGTTGTGCATATTATGATATTCGATACAAAGTGATATTTAGTGTTCGTCTTGTCGAAGCAACACAATTTTTAAAAAACTATCCGAAAAGAATTATGTAATCATTTCTAAATACTACGGCCCAATCATTAATATTAGCGGCATTGCTGAAAACATCAATTTCACTAAAGTTTCGGAAATTTTTCACTGTTTTTTTAAACATCGCAGCAAAACTCTAAAGAATGAAGTTTCACTTTGTTTGAAAAAAGTGTAAAAACGCACGTATTATTCTTGTTTGATAGCACAACTTAATTTGAATATTTTTCTATTCGCTTATGTGTGAAAGAAAATCCATATTATACCAAAAAATTTTTATTGTTCGATTGATCCATTGTTGACAGCTATTTTTATAATCATTTCATTGAATTTTCAGATAGGTCAGAAATAACACATAATTGACCGTTTGTTGCAATTATAATTCATTTCCATTTCATTTATTTGATAGTCAAAAAAAAAGAAATTATCTGTTTCCTCGCTTTTGTATGGCATTAATTTCCTTTATTTAACCAAATGCAGTTAGTGTTTTTTTTGTTTAACAACAAATTTGGAATTTTGTTAAAATGTCATTCCTTTACATTAGAAAATATTGACATTAGTCCTCGTTCCGATTACTAGTTTATCTTGAATTTGTAATTTTCATCTTTGTCTTATCCAAGCTGATTTGTTTAGTACATTATTTTGAAGCTTTCTCGATAATTCTGAATACCGGAGTGCATCCATCCATTGAATATATGATCCGATGCGTCACTGATGATTCTCTCTTAGCAATTTAATTCGTACTAGTAAGGTTGAATAAGATTCTAGAAGCAGTGCTTCTATAGCAATGATATATACATTCGATTTTCAGATAATAAGTTCTGAAAACAATCTTTATCAATTTGAGAGTGTTGTAGGATAGCGCTCTTCTATCTAACTGGAATTTCAAAATCTCGTTTGGTTCAATTTTTGTCTGGGATAAATGCTTTCATTTTATAGTTTAAATAATGCAATCGCAGAGTGTTGATATGAACAGCAATGATTTGATGTTTCATTTGGCAAATTTGTTAAATTTTCTTCACTGTGAAGAAAAATAATCGCAAGCGGAATATGCGACATCTCAACCTGTGGAAGAAATGACTTGAGGAAATGACTTCGATTAGCCCACTGCACACCTTAAATTAACATTCCGAAATCATCCCCAAGCTTCTTCACTATGTTCACCTCATACTCTCATTTCCACTCGGTCGAAGTACAACTTCGATCGATGGATGCTACTAGCTACTACATATAAATATATACACATATACAAACATACACATACACATATACATATATATATATATATATACTGATACACGTACATATAGATACAGATTCAACAACGAACTACACATCACCACTTCCTCAGCTAATCACCACTCGCTTGGTTAATTCAATTTTAATTATAAACTCAACGGTGACACTCCCACATATGTTGTGGTAGGGGAGTGTGTATGAGCGTGTGTATGCGTGTGTGTGTGTGTGTGTGTGTGTGTGTGTGTGTGTGTGTGTGTGTGTGTGTATAGCTATGTGTATTATTGCATTTACTTATTACAGATTAACGTGGTTGGATTGCGTCAAAGATGTAGTACAAAAAGAGTACCGTGTTTATTTTTACTGCATTCATTAATTCATGTTGCATTGCTGCTTGTTAGAAAGGAGCCGCAGTGCTTAGAGAGAGGATGTTGTAGGATGAGTAGCACTAATTTTGTAGCATTTTAGATGTTTAAGTTATGGGAGCTAAACAATCCCGAATATGCTTTAGGATGAATTTTCTTCAAGAGTGGTTTGCTTCCCAAAATGAATCATCATAAATAAGCCTCCTCCCTATGCGAATTTGCCCGGAAATAATCGGGCCAAGTTCCACTGCACACTTCACCTACATTATTTAGTATTCTTAACATTTGTTGGCCATTCATATCAGCAAACGTGAACAAATTTTGTTTTTCTTCTCTGAAAAATTCTAATTTACAATTGTTGATTAATATTGTTAAGAATACTGAATATTTAAAGTTGATTGGAAAGAAAGTTTTAGCCATTCGTCAGTCGTATAAAATTCAATTGATGATATTTCGATAATGTTGAAATAATGTTCCAATAGTTTCTAGCAGATGGTTAGATTGTTTTCAGGCAGTTGTTGGCTGAAAGCTTTTTTGTAGCCCAAACTTTTCCATTTGTTTTCTTTTTTGTGTCATAAAGATGGTTTTTTTCCAATGATTAGCATACGTAGTGAGAGAAATGACTGGAGATACCGCTTTAATCTTTAAAAATGGGTTTATGGATCCTCCAAATAAAATGGTCAGAAAAAATCATTGATGTAAAGATTGGAGGATAAATTCTTGTGTCAAAAATATTGATTGCCCGAATTTTTGATTACATTTTATTCATTTTGTAGAAATCATCACTATCTCAAAGAACTGTCATCAATCTTTAATAAGGGATGGGAATGTGGTACCTGTGTATACCTCTATTAACTAATATGTTCAATCAGGTCATATTCTAGCATATCGGTAATATTATGTATGATTAATGATGCTATATGAAATATCTGATCTAATTTCTACAAATGTTTTTAAAATTTCTTTGGCCCATGCTTCGCCTTTAAATTTAAATTTAATATTTTCCACGAAGTTTACGATTTGTTTATCGTCATTCCCAGGCACATCCTTCTAAAGTATCAAGTTGCATATTTCTTCGCCTCATTTCATTTTACAATAACAAAGTTTGGGGGCAGCACAAAAAAAGAAAACAATCATTTGCAATTCATCCCGTAAATCCGTTTCCTAAATTAACTTTTTGTTATCATGTTGTTTATTAATTTTCCTTACCCTCATTAATAATTCTTAAAGTTGAAGTTAATAGAATAATATCTTGTTTTATAAAAAAATCCTTCGCAAACAGCTTCAATCATTTGTTTTGAAATCTTTCAGTATCATCTTCACATTCAATGAAATAGTATCGTAAAATTAGAGGAGAGTATCTGGAAAATTACAGCAATGTAATATAGAGCCCCAAATTATTGAAATCAAATTTAGACTATCTTTATTTTACGA